TCTCCTGAAAAGAATAGAAGCTGTAAAATGGATATTAAATACATGAAGGTGGGGTCTTTCACTTTTGCACAGCCCTGTATTTAACCCCTTAAAATCCCAGCTTATTACATACTAATGCTTATTATTCAGTAACTACAGGGACTTCATTGCAAACTGACTGAGCCACTGTTAGGTTATAGAAATGTGTAATAAAACTTTGGCCTCTGATCATTAAAGGGGTTCATGAATAAACCGCTACATCATTTTAGCAAATATAGTCAAACACACAGCAGGCATGAGTTCAATCCTTTATTATATACAAACAGATATCCATACATAGTCTCATATATGTGTCCAGTAGTAAGATTCAGCAGCTTAAAAAAAAACACAACAAAAAAAAAGTTAAACGAAACAAAAACTGTAAACCACTTACAATATTTTGCTTAAAAATAGAAAAAAATATAATTTAAATAACAGGATTTGTACATTTCCTTTTTCTAAGACATTTTAACTTTGATTTAAAACAAGCTCCAAAAGTGTGTTTGGTCAACTTCAACTTCAACAAAGGCAGCTGAACAGAATCTGAGCTGAGGGTCAGAAGTCCAGGGCAGCTGTGGCCGAGGAAACTCTCAGTCTCTACGCATGTAACGACACAGAGAAAATGAATGCGATAATATACTGGGGGTATTAAGTCTTGAGGTTATTTGCACATGTCCGACTCTTATAAGAAAGTCCTTTCAAAGCTTTGGTCAGTCAGGAAACAAAAAAAGCGTGAAAGAATGAAAGATACCATTAAATTCATTAAATTCGGTTGTGGTGCACAGGGAACAAGGACCTAAACTAAAGGGGAACTCCACTGATTTTTCAAAATTTCTACATAATTAAATGGTTAAGATGTAAACAGAGTCATTCAGAGTGGTTTGGTGTGAAATGCTCTGTTCTAGAGAAACTTAGCAAGTCAGAATTGTTCACAATGGTGGTGCTAGGAACCAGGCGTCCACCTCTAAAAGCTCCCTCACAGAAAGTTATTAGCTGAAATGGTTATGAATACACTGCCTTTATGACAGTTTTGAGAAGGTTTTGGCCTAAAATGTATTTTTTTAAAATCCATTCATGGTGGAGGGATACATGTGAGGCAAAAGTGTCCCCAAATAAAACTTATTATTTCAGATTTATCACTATTTTACCATCAGCATTTCATATAAATACTCAGAAGACACTCGTGTAGGTTCACTGGTGGTTTTGGATAGTAAATATAATGGCTATATTTGTGTTGTAGTCATGGCGACCCCTGGTTCCTCTCACCACCACTGTAAAGACATCTGAACCATTTCACACCAAACCACTCTGAATCATCCTGTTTACAACTCATCCACGGAATTAGGCAAGAATTTTGAAAAAAATTGGTGGAATTCCCCTTCAAGGGACAGGGAGTTTTTCTAAAACTGCCCTCTTCTCACTCAGAGAACAACAGGCTAATGTGTCAACAAGCTGCTACGCACATGCGCAGCTTACAGTCCCATTTATTACCTGTTTGGTATTTTGGAGTGTTACAAACTGCAGATGATAAAATGGAAATTCACTACAGCTTTCCTCTCTTTAGAGAAACAGCTCTCACAAAAACACTAACGCGGCTTAAAAACCCTGAAAGGGCAGATTTACTAAAAGAGGTCCTAATCACCGGCAGTCTACACAGGCACATTCTTCTACAACAGCGTTTTAGGGCCACTGTTTATACAAATAAAATCAGTCGACTTTGAGAATAAAGTCAGGATATTTAAATAAAAAAGTTATATTTCGAGAAAAATAATATATTTCAGAAAAAAGTCTTAATATTTAAGGAAAAAAGTTAATATTTCAAGACAAAAAGTGATATTTCGAGAAAAAAGTTGCAGTATTTGGAGATAAAATTTGTACTATTTCGTACTATTTTTATTTTTATTAACAGTGGCCTTATAACGTCGTCGTATTTTTCTTCATCAAGGTGCAAACACTGTAAATGCCCAAGTTAAATGTGTTGATGTGCTTTTCATACAGGGAAAATAAAACATTTTAGTGAAAAGTGTAAATCCAGATATGATCCGGACTCAAAACGCATGCTAATAAATGTGTAAACAGGCACTAAACGCAGCCTCAGTTACAACAGTGGTCTTAAGGTTCAACTGTGTACCTTAAAGCAGCACTATGTACGATTTGTTTGTTAAAACTGAAAGAAGCAGTCAGAAGTCACGCCCTTCACCAAGCTTTGACTGAGTTCTCTTTAAATCTTTCAAACATCAGACTTTATGTCAAAGATTTGACTTTTTAGCTCATAATAACGACTTCCTTTCCTGATATTTTGACTTAGTATGACAAATTAAAGACAAATTTACTCATGTTTTTGTCTTAGAATCAAAAAAAGTTTGTGAATGTACTATTATTTTGATTATTTTGAGAAAATAAGCCATAACATCAAGAAAATTATTCTAAAACAATGATTCAAACAGTTTGAAAAGTCAAACATAAGCCATAATTTGACACACAGCTGCTAGAAAAGGGAGACTTTTGTTGTTTAGGTGTTTTTAAGCAACAATAAGAAGCAAAAATATTTAAAGGTGTCTTTGAGAGGGAAACTACCATAAATGCATATGCAAATGAGCCTAAAAAACACAAAACAACAGTGACCAAGACTTTGATCTTATTATGATCACATAAGGACCTTCACGCATCACATTTTAGCGCCAAAATAGAGTCTGCAAAGGCAAAAAACATTAGTAGATCTGCCCCTTCAGCTAAACGCAAGTTGACCTCTATTATATGATGCTAGTTACTCCCTCATGAATCACTCAGTATCAACTACATTCACATTCATGATTTTTGGGCCTTTGTTAAACTACAACCACATTCAATCTACAGTACACACCCCCGAGGCCTTGCTGACTACAGTGGAGTGTTTCTCACAGCAATTATTTGTATACATGCCAAAAGGACAATCTTTGCAAGAAGTTCTCTGTGGGTTGTATCATGATCCTCCACTTCATCTTGCTGAGTTATTTATCACCTACAGCTTATTATACATACGTTTTGACACTAACTTGGTAGTCTACAGTACATTATTGCTCAACAGGTCACTCCAGAGTCTTTAGGGCTTAAATGAGATCACTCAGGGAGTGAAGTATTGCTTTCTGCAGTCGGGCCTCACCGCTGGATAAAGACACTGACCGCAACGACCCACAGTGCCTTCAAACCGGCTGTAAGTCATTAAAGCTGCGCTCTGCGTATGTTTACACTAGAGCCCAGTCGATATGAACAATCTGTGCCCGACACCGATTTTAGGAGGCTAACTATTTTGATAACCGATAACTGATAACTTTACATTCATATTTTATATTATTTACTTCGACAGTTAAAACAGATTTATTACCTCTCATGAATATCAATTCACACATCAGTGAGAAACTCTCAGACTTAGTATTAAAAAACTGGGGGTGGAGCTTCTCATTATTCTTTCCAGTTTTGGTTTCTGTTACTTGCATTTTTTCATATTTTTCATCAGTTCTTTTTATCAAAAGGTATTTTTTTGTGTTACTTTCATGCTGAAGGTTAAATCTGGACATACTTTACATGTTTTTTATTATTATTATTTTGTTATTTTGCTATGATATGTTTAAACAGCAAGTTATTCATATTGGGTTTCCTATCTAAGGAGGCCAGGAGATTATGAGTTCAGATCGCAGTGATGCTGCAAATGAAAAAAGTCACTAATTGCAGCAGCATTATCTGCAGTAAACCAGCCGAAAGTCAATATCGGTCGGTTTAAATATCGAACAGGCCCTTGTTCACACCTGAATTAGCCAGTGTTTCACTAAATTAAATCCATCATAATTCAACACTGGATAAACATAACAAAAAAATTCTGGCTAGGTCTCGCCATCACACTACGATACCAAGCTGGGAGGGTGAAGGTTAGCCTGAAGCTCCACCCCATCTTTACAAACTGCCGCTAATGCACCATCATTGAAGACTCAACGCGCTTGGAGGAGAACACTAACTGCTAATTCTGTTTTGTCAGCTAACAGACGCCAACAGAGAGGACGATAAGGCTGTGTTCAGACAGCAGAGCATATTCTGCCATCTTATTTGCGAGGAATCAGTTTTGCTAAGCGGAGGAGCAGTCTGGATCTTTATGGGTGGTGTTATGGACGAGAAGTGTAACACCACTTATTGCGTCTTGAACCCCAACAACCAGCAAGCAAAGTGAAATGAGTTATACATTAGAGCAGTGGTCTCCATCCCTGGTCCTGCAGAGCTGCCTTCCTGCAGAGTTCAGTTCCAACCTGTATCCAGTAAGCTGCCCCGCCCCCTTACTTAAGACTTTCACATCTGATCCAGCCAATCAGGGACTTTGTTAAGAGTTGGATTAGCTGGAGCAGGTGTGGCACATTGTGGTTGGAACTAGTTCTGTGGGAAGGTTGGGTTGGAGACCACTGAATTAACGCTCTGGGATCCACAAACTCACATGTGCGTCAAATTGGATGTTTCTATATCTGTTTCTGTATCTTTGTGATAATCTAGCACAGAAATCTCATTTCCTGAATCTGTAGAGTCGCCCTTTCCATTCCATCTTATCACAAGATCGTACATGACTCACATCCAGAGTTATGAGCCTGTGAAGAGGGGCTGAGATACACATCATCCGCTTCTCACCGTGTGGAACTGGTGGATTCGTGTGTCTGTCTACATTCTGTGTGAAACTGACCAATGGACAAATCACTAAGGACTGACCCATCACGCCGGACACCCTTCATTCTTCTTTCAGTCCACATCGGAGACACGTGTGAAATGGCGTGCAGAGAGTTTACAGCTGCTGAAGTTGCTGCAGCGGTTTTGGAAAGTAGTGATGAAGATATGAAACATCTGAGCATCATGTTATATAAAGAGCCTTTGAAGGAGAATTTAAGTAGATATGCACCAATCGAGAGAATGACCTCCGACCCCAGAGGGTTAAAGTGCTAAACTACTCACTATCCTATTTTTTTTTATTTTTTTTTTAAAGCAAACCTCAATGACAGCAATGTACAGGAAGGCACATAAGCCAGTGAAATAATAAATATCTTGAAAACTGTCATACTGTACAGTCCCACGTGTGCCCTGTGTTTCAGTTTCCCCTGCCCTCAGTTTTGATTGGTTATCTTGTGAAAAGCGTCACGATGAAACGAGCTCATCTGCTTCATTTTTCAACTCCATTTACGAAGATTCGCAGCGCACAAAACACACCCTCCCCAGCAGAGTCTGCAAAACCTGCATCCTGCTGTGGGATACAATGGTGTGATATATGCAACATGCTCTGCTGTCTGAATGCAGCTTTATCCTCTCTGACTCCCAGACATGGATGGCCGTGGCATCGCTGGGGATCAAACTCGTGATCCTCCAATGACGGGGCCTCAATGAGCACCTACCTGAATTTAAACAGCCTCAAAAACAACTCATTCACATTATTCTGATCTAACTGTAGGTATCAGTCAATCTCATTTTAAAATCACACAATATGTTCAGTTGATGTAGTTGTGTGTAAAGCAGGCTATTCGAGATTTATAAACGTTTTAGGGAAAATAAATAAAGATCTTTTCATAACCACCCTCGTGCCACCTAATAGGTTCCAAAGCCTAGGCTGCAACCGAGGTAGGGCGGGTCCTCGGTAGGACTATCGGCCACACAAATGGGAGAGTCCTAACGGGGCTGTGTGGTGACGTCACCTGAGAAGTCCCGCCTCTAACAATTGCGGGAACTGGTGAGAGAAAATGGAACCCGCTGCCTTGTGTTTGTTGCTATGGTAGCTAATACACCAACAAGGTTATGTAGTACGATAAACAACATATATACAAATACTTCTGATTAAAATACGATATATGGGCGAATGCTTTAATTAATCAATCATTTTACTCTTTACAACATAACGAAGATGAATTCAACGACGTGAACATCTTACATTTTAAAACAAGCTCTGCTCCAACGGCTTCGTTTTCCGCCATTTTTGTGATGCTGTTTTTTCCTTTGCATCATTTGTGCGCAGGGAACTGTGGGTAACCGAAGGCCTGGAAGGATATATATGTTGCGTCCCCAAAATCACTCAGAATGTAGGTTGCATTTCTAGGCTGTACACGAGGGCCCTTCACTTTGAAGCGGCCTTCTATGACGTAGCGGTCGAGAAGTGCAGCCTAGGCTTTGGAACACAGCTACAGTCTGGATGTGCAAAGAGGTTACAAAAAATAGTCTAAATGCAGAAAAAGGCTGAATGAGATAAACTGATAAACTGACTATGACCTTCTTATGTCATGTGCGCAAAAAATAGATTGTTGTCGTGAGTGAAAGTAGAAATTTAAAAAAATTCAAGGATGTATATACAGCACTGTTCAAAAGGCTTAGACATCTGAGACAATAGGTAAAACTATTTATCTGGGCAGTAAGCACTTGTTTTGTTTGAGCACTAACATCAGAATAAACACAAATAAACATAAATACCTTGTTTATCTAATAAGTCACTCATTAAATCAAATCAAGTGCTGCTGAACAAATCTATGCGATGGTTGGGAGAGGTCGGGAACCAAACCTGAGTTCTACATATTCATAACTGAAAACAACACATTCTTTATTATGTCTACTGTATTTTGTTTATTTGTATTTACTCCAATGTTATATTGTGTTTTTATTGTCAGAAACACACTCAGTGCTAAGAAAAATAGTTTCAAACAATCTTCTTAGCTGCTTAAGGCTTTTGCACAGTACTGTATATATTTTGGTGAATGTTCACTAAACATCATTACGGTAATTGTCCTGTTGTCCTGTCACCTGCACAAAAGCAGCACCTTTTTCTGTAATGTTCACAGTTAACCTCATAGCTGCTGTTATGTATCAGTTACTGGAGTTGAACACATACTCGAGTGGACAATTTTACCATAAATACAGTTGTATGCAAAAGTTTGAACACCCCAGTTCAAATGACGTGCATTGATTTGAGTGAAAATAGGTGAACACACTAAGTTTAGTGCACAATTTGAATAAAACATCATATAAAATCTGCCGTAACTTTTACACAGACCACATTTTGTGTTTTATTTATTCGTTTATTTTTTAAATTCAGTAATTAAAATGTGCAGTTGTGTGTTCTCTGCAGAGGACGTCATCTGAGCAGGGGTGCACAAACTTTTTCACACGACTGTACTTTGTTGGGAAAGCAAGTCGGTAGAACAGAAAAGTGACAAAAAAGCCCCCCAAAAAACTCAAAGAGCAGGAAGAAAAAGACAATCTGTAAAGACTGATATTAACCCCTAACCGAGCGTGTGCAGTTCACACTGAGTGGATATAAAACTGATAATAGGTCCATTAACTCGTCCTCTGATCACTACAGTACATCCACAGCTGCAGACGCTGAATGACATCTTCAGATTGTAAATAAACATCATGCTGTCCCACCTCTCTGCCACGCTTTTATACATGTTGTGCAGTTTTATATCTAGAACTTGATCCTGTGGTTTCATAGCGAGGTTCTCTGACGCCGAGTCGTTCATTTAGTGCAGATTGCATATTACTTTGCATATGTGGTGCTCGAGCTGCCTGCGTCCTTTCAGTAACAGCATGCCAATGATTCGTTTAGCTCTCTCTCTCTCTCTTTCTCCTTCTCTCTCTCTCTCTCTCTATCTGTCTCTCTCTCTCATTTTAGCCAACAAAGGAATGCAAAGGGACAGAGTGGGAGACATCTGACATCTGCCGTGTGTGTGTGTGGGTGTGTGTGTGTGTGTGTGTGTGTGAGAGAGTGCGTACACAGTGCAGACAGAGGAGTGTGTGTGAGTGTCCATGTGTGTTTCAAAGTGACCGTGAGAGACACAGAGGGCGATCCGCGGGTGTGACTCTCAGCTACACACGGGGATGAGTCGTCCCAAGGAAATCACTGAAAAAAGAGAGAGAGAGAGAGAGAGAGAGAGAGAGAGAGAGAGAGAGAGAAACAGAGACAGAGAGAGACAGAGGGAGAGAGGGAGAGAGCAAGGAGAGAGGGAGGGAGGAGAGAGAGAGGGAGAAAGAAAGATACAGAGTGAGAGAGACAGAAGGAGGAGAGAGAAAACAAGGAGGAGAGAATGAGAAAGGGGAGAGAGAGAGAAAGAAAGAGGGAGAGTGAGGAGGGGGAGAGAGAGCAAGGGGAAAGAGAGACAGAGAAAGAGGGAGTAGAGAAAGAGAGAAAGAGAGAGAGGGAGGAGAGAGGGAGTGAGAGAATAAGAAGGGAGAGAGAGAGAGAGAGAGAGCAAGGAGAGAGAAGGAGAAAGAGAGAGAGAGGGAGAGTGAGGAGGGGGGAGAGAGAGAGCAAGGAGAAAGAGAGAGAGAAAGAGGGAGTAGAGAAAGAGAGAGAGTGGGAGGAGAGTGAGAGGAGACAGAAAGAAAAAGACATGGTGAGTGAGTGAAAAGGGGGAGGGAGAGAAAGTGAGAGGGGGATAGAGAGAGCAAGGAGAAGGAAAGAGAGAGAAAGAGGAAGGAGAGAAAGGGAAGGAGTGGGAGGAGAGTGAGGGAAAGAGAGAAGAAGACAGAATGAGAGAGTGAGACAGGGAAGAGAGAGCAGGGGAGAGGGGAGGCAAGGGCAGAGAGAGAGAGAGAGAGAGAGAGAGAGGAGAGAGAGAGAGAGAGAGAGGAGGTTACATTTTTGTCAGGACAGATGACATTACTCTTCTCTACATGTCAGAAATCGATTTTTTCTGATTGTAAAAAATGTGATCTTTCTAACAATTATTCAAAACATATTAGGGGTGAATGATGAGCAAGTCTGGAAAAATCAACACGCAGTTCTGTGTAAAAGTCAGAGACCACCTTTATTTATTTAACTTCCAGTCCAAAGTTTCAAAACCATCAATAAGAGCTTTTATATTTCTTTGTGTATACAACCATCCAGCTACTTCATTAAGTCCACCTCCTTGTTTCTACACTCACTGTCCATTTTATCAGCTCCACTGACCGTATATGTGCACTTTGTGGTTCTACAGTTACAGACTGTAGTCCATCTGTTTCTCTGCACACTTTGTTACCCTGTTCTTCAGTGGTCAGGACCCCCACAGGACCCCCACATAGCAGGTATTATTTGGGTTGTGGATCATTCTCAGCATTACAGTGACACTGACGTGGTGGTGGTGTGTGTTGCACTGGTATGAGTCCACTCACTGCCCACTCTATTAGACACTCCTACCTTGTTGGTCCACCTTGTAGATGTAAAGTCAGAGACGATAGCTCATCTGCTGCTGCACAGTTTGTGTTGGTCATCTTCTAGTCCTTCATCAGTGGTCATAGGACGCTGCCCACAGGATGCTGTTGGCTGGATAGGTTTGGTTGATGGACTATTCTCAGTCCAGCAGTGACACTGAGGTGTTTAAAAACTCCAGCACTGCTGTGTCTGATCCGCTCAGACCAGCGCAACACACACTTACACACCACCACCACGTCAGTGTTACTGGAGTACTGGGAATGATCCACCACCCAAATAATGCCTGCTCTTTGGGGGTCCTGTGGGGGTCCTGACCACTGAAGAACAGGGTGACAAAGTATGCAGAGAAACAGATGGACTACAGTCTGTAACTGCAGAACTATAAAGTGCTCCTGTGTGGTCAGTGGAGCTGATAAGATGGACAGTGAGTGTGGGCTTTAATGTTATGGCTGAGTGTGTGTGTGGCTTTACCTGAGTATATGAGGCAGCTGTGGGCTCCGGTAGATAAATTTGTGTCTGTATCCCAGAGAGCTCGGGAACGGGATGAACTGGACCTTGTGTCCACTCAGACTTTTGGATTGAGCCGCTATATTGTAGAGCTGGGGGAGCAGAAGAGCTAATAAAGATTACTTTGTCTAAATTGTCTACAGATGTCACAGTCAAGATGACCGACTGAGGAAGCCGAAACCTTCAGACACAACTTCAAAAACGACTTGTGCTATGAAATATGCTGCAATCTGGAAGCGCACAAACGAATACTGATTACAGTCACATATATCACACCTTTAATATTCATATTCACAGCAAACTTCTCATTTTAATTTCATTTACTGTAGACTATCTTAATGTGTTTCCTTGTATAAAATAAAATCTATTATACAAAAAGTTTTCTTTTTGTTTTTCTTTTTCCCAATTTTCCCACCAATTTTGTTGTCTCCAATTCCATCCACTACTTAGGACTCCCTTAATCACATGATACCACCAGCGCTAGGACGGGCGAAGGCCAGCACAGGCTTCCTCCAAGACCTGTGAAGCGCCACCTCATCTTTTTGAACTGTCGCTATTGTCAATGGACAGCCGAACACACTTGGAGGAGAACACTAACCGCCGTTCTCTTACGTCAGCTAACAGACGCCTGTGCTGACTAGCATCGCATTGAGTGATGGGGGGAGAAGGAGGGGCCATCCTCCCCACCCAGAGAGCGAGGCCAATTGTGATCTCTTGGACTCCCAGCCATGGATGGCTGTAGCATCACCTCTTTACAGAGCCAAAGCCTGCAGGAGCAAGACTTTTGTTTGAAGTCACCATGTAAGATTATGTTTTGTTGATTTTCTAAGTGAAAATATGCTGAACACACTAAAATGTGGTTTTGCATGTGCCCATTTTAATGCACAAATTCTGTTTGCTGAGTTTAACATTTTTGACACAGATAAAACATAATATGTGCCATAACTTTTGCACAGGCCACATTTTACATTCCCCCACCCCCCTAAGATGATAAATTTACCAAGTGAGCAGTAATTGTGCATGAAAGTGTGCATACATGTGTTTTCTGTAGAGGAAGTGTTCATAAAGAAAAACGTCATCTGACCAGGGGCGCTCAAACTTTTGCATACGATTGTATATAGAAACTAAGCAGAGAAAACATCATGATGTTGTGAGGTCAGAACCATGAACACATTTACATATGACCACCCACATAGCCTACAGCAGTTTGCCCCACCCAGTCAGGCTGAAGTGATGTGGAGTGTTGTTACTGCACACAGAGAGCTCGGGGTGCTCAAACTTTTGCTTCTGACTGGAGGTCTTACCTTTTTGCCCAGGTGGAAAGGGACGACGGTGTCGTCTTCAGCATGGAGGATCAGGACTGGGCAGGAGATGTGATTCACACTGAGAGAGAGAGAGAGAGAGAGAGAGAGAGAGAGAGAGAGAGAGAGAGAGAGAGAGAAAGAGAAAGAGAAAGAGAGAGGGATTAATTATGGTAACTATACACACACACAAACAAACATGCTCAACACACCACACACACACTTTTAAGGTAGCAGGAGATTTTAGGTAGCAGTGTATTTAAGGTGGCACTGGATTTAAGGTAGCAACTTTAGGGTAGCAAGAGATTTAAGGTGGTAGGTGATTTAAGGTGGAGGTGCATTTAAGGTGGCAATGATTAAAGGTAGCAGTGAAGATAAGGTAGCAGGAAATTTTAACGTGGCAGCGGACTTAGGCAACAATAGCAACCACCTGTGATTCCACAGCAACCACCTACCATCCACTTAGCAAAATAATAGCAATCACCTAGCAACCACATAGGAACATCATAGCAACCCCTTGGGATACCATAGCAACAACCTAGCAGGAAATGGGAACCTTTTAGGCCACGCAACCATTCAGCGCTTCCTTCAGGAAATGTGCGCTTCCAGTTTCAACTGCTCCTGTGAATCACTGTGAGATTAACACCCCGTTTAACAGAGACAGAGTGCAGCACTAATAATTACAAAGGAGGAGACAGAGAAACAGACGGACACACAGACACTCACTTCTCGTCGCTGGCGAAGAGGATGTCATTTGCTGTGATGGCATCCAAAAAGAACCAGTCAAAGCCTGGAAGATACCTGTAAACCTACAACAGGATTACACATTACATACACGTCACAACCTCAACCACTGTGTCTTTCTCTCCGTATCTGTCCCTCAATCCCCCCACCCCCCTCCACACACACACACACACACACACACACACACACACACACACACACACACAGACACACACATGATAAAATGTTTGTGACCCCAGGGACACAGGTTAAAGCTAGTCCAAGGCTGATTTCAAACAGGGAGTTTTGTGTAAGATAAAGACAAATTGGTCAGAAAAGTCTCACCATAGAGAAAGGATGACTCTTGGCCTCCTCTCTGATGTTGGTGAACGGAGACTCCAGGATTACAGCGTCCGGCGGCGTTCCTGCAAACACAGCAGATCAACCACACTGAGAATCAAGCACTCATTCTGTATGATTTAGGATACTGAAGCCCCCTATTAACTATTTAGTGACTAATATGAATAATTCACTCAACACTATGAATTATTATTACAATGACTTTAAATTATTTCCTAACTACTATGAATTATTTAGTAAAAGAATTATTCAGTATCTACTATAAGATTATTCAGTAACTACTATAAATTATCCATGAACTACTATGAATTATTCAGTAACTACTATGAATTATTTAGTATCTGCTACAAATTATTCAGTATATACCAAAAATTATCCATGAACAACTATGAATTATTCAGTATCTGCTACAAACTATTCAGTATCTACTAAAAATTACCCATGAACAACTACGTATTATTCAGTATCTACTACGTATTATTCAGTATCTACTACGAATTATTCAGTATCTACTATATATTATTCAGTATCTACTATGTATTATTCAGTATCTACTATTAATTATCCATTAACTCCTGCAAATTATTCACTAACTGCTATAAATTGTTTCTCAATTAATATTTAATTGATCAGTAACAGTCCCATCACCTACATGCTGTTCACAAAGAGCTGATTCACACACATTAAAGAAATCACTTGCCCAAACTTGCTAATGTTGCTAATAATTAATAAAAAGTAGCAGTCAAAACTAGCATTATGCTCCAAATTATTAATGCTAATTGGTAGGTATACTAAGCTAAGCCTAAGTTTGGACTCCAAAATCTAAACCAATCAACATTAACAGCACAGTTTAATCTGACCTTGTAAGCTGCTGCTAATCGTGAGTGATGACGCTTTTACACAGAAACTGTGTGAAACACTATGATCAACTGTGAAACTCTGGTCTTATTTTCTCCACCTTGCTGTGCAGCTTCAAACTAACTGAAAAAGGAAGCTGCAGAAAACAGAGACTACATGATAAGAGATCTACATCATAAACAGTCACACATGCACACTCACCTCTGTCACACAGACGTCTCACTAAGTTAGTTGACACTCTGGAAAAACAAGAATTAATAAAACTTCACTGTTTTATTAACTTAATACAGGACATTTTTTCTCTTTATCAGACAGAAATTAATAATGTCGTAGTCTTATAAACATCAGCAATGTAGGCTCAGACAAAACGCTAACAACTTTGTCTGAAAACACCAGGAAAATACGCATTACAGGCCAAATACGGCAGAGAAGAAGCTTAAGTTTCTGTAGCAGGACAGCGGTGCTCACCCAGTGCCCAGAGAGTGACCCCAGATGTAGAGCGGCTTGTGGCCGATTCTCTGCTTCAGCCACTGATACAGGAACAGAGCGTCCAGCGTCATCCCCCTCTCTGAGGGGCTGCCCTCGGAGTCCCCCCAACCTGAAGGGCAAAGAAAACACATAAAAGACCAATTGCAAACATGCAAAACTGACTCTTATCGGCTATTTCATTCTACTGCGTTCAGTAAACTCTACAATTCAGGAAATCAGAAGAAGAAAACAACATACCTCTGTAATCGAACGTGACTACATGGTAGCCTAATGAACTGAGGACCTGCAGGACCAGAGATGTTTCCGTTATTTTGGCCTGTTTACATGTAGTAAAGTTAACTCAAACTGATTGCAGAAAGAACAAGAGCTCTGCGTTTTACCCATATTAGGAGTTTCGGGTCTAAGCTGGATTTCTCTATGACGGAAATAAATTTCGTTTTCATGAACTAAAACTAAACTAAGACAAAATAAAAAATTAAGTAATAAATTAAGTAAAGCTAGAATAGTGCATTTCCTAAGGAAAACGCAGAGCGACCACGCAGCTGATGAAACAGAGCGCAGTAGATGGACGTATAAATTTTACATCATTCACTCCTATGAGCAAAATTTCGGAATGTAATAAAGGTTGTATGAAAACCGTACGTCGGATTGAAAAGCGGTGCTAAAGTCTGTGCACATTTTCCAAATTTGTCTGATTTCTATGCATTATGACATGGACTTTAGATGAAAATCCTTATGCTTTGAGTGGCTGACAGACGTTTTGTGGATGTGTTTCTGGACAAGATTTTATAGTTTGATTTGGTTAATTTAGTTTCACAAGGCTGAAATCAGTTGAGTGTTACCTTATAGAGCTGCACTCTATGGTCTCCTCCCCTGCAACACAAACAAGCAGACACAGACGGGCAGAGATAAGTGACCAGGTGAGACAGGGGGCTCGATGTACTACACATTTTGCCCAGTTTACGGGTCTTACGTATGGTAAAAACACTAAATGTGCTTCACTTTCTCACATATATGCATCTCATGTATAAAAATGAGTTGGTCCGTAAATCATTCAGTTTTAAAGTGAAGATGTACTTTAGGGTTAAGGTTAGGGTTCAGGTAGTCATAGTTATGGTTAAGCTTTGGTTAAGTCTCCCGGAAATGAATGTAATGTCACCACAATTCACAGAAACAAAAGTGTGTGTGTGTGTGTGTGTGCATATACCTGGTCCCTGCGTTGCCATGGAGATAGAGCATGACAGGGTGTGTGGACTGGAGCGTTTTCTCAAACCACTCCCCCTTCTTTACCCTGGGCATCCTTCCACAGTACAGCTGGAACTGTGTGCCTGAGAGAGAGAGAGAGAGAGAGAGAGAGAGAGAGAGAGAGAGATACAGAAAGATATTAGAAGAGCTATTAAAACTATTTTATATCATATATATAATATTAAAGCAATAAGCCACAAGATGCTGTGTGTTACTGTGATTTGATCACGGGAAGAGTGTTGTTAGGCACGATGCAAACAGAGTAAAACCTCCTTCCCTGTGATAAAATCACTGTAACGCACGGCCTCAAGTGGCTTACTGCTTTTATAAAATGGCAGCCAACATTAAATATGATAAAATAAATTATTTTATGAAAAATTGTGTAAGTTAATATTAATAATAATCGATATAAACAAGTATTCCACCAGGAAATGTAGTATGAGTAGTATGTAGTATGATATCGTGGCCAAGCAGCCATGGACCGAATGAGGAGAACGTTCGGTCACCCATCGCTGTATATTGCGGTCATTTCATGAACTTTTTGTCATATAACAGTAAACATATGATAACACAGCACTGTTTAATACAAACACTTTCAACTGATAAGTACTTTTTGGTCACCAAATTACCACCAGTGGCGCCCCTCTTCCCACACTGGGGCTGAATCTCAAACGACTCCCTGCTCCCTACATAGTGCACTACGTAGGAATTGATGGAGTTGTTTAGGCTGTTTCCTATCTTTTAGCCTGCTAGCTAGCTGACCAGCCTAGTTCTAGTTAAGAACATAAGTTTTCAGCCCCTTAGTTTAAACAAAAAACACCACAAGGTTTTTTTTTCGTGACGTGGCGCAGTGATACACAATTCCGTTGTTGTGAAGCGGTCATAGGTGTGTGTATAACGTGGATTTTACAACGGCTTTTAATTCAGCTCAGCCAATAAGATTTTAGGACTGGAACTATCCATTTTATAAATAGTAATCTATAATACATATATTATAATTCATTTATTTTATTTCTACTTTTGTGTATTTTTTTTAGAGTATGTTTAAAAATCATTCTGAATCACACAACAATAAACACACTGCATTAAACTGATTCCTGGTTACATTTAAACGCTCAACTATGTATTATTCTGGTAACTTCTCAATTTTGTATTCATCTTATTTACATTATCTTTTGTACTGTACAGTAGAACATTATGCAGACTCTCCCTCTGCAGCATTACCAGTAGAGGTCCTCTAAACACGGTCAGTGTGAGCTCATAACCAAACACCACCCTACAGAGATTTAATAAAGCAAGTCATATAGTCACATAAACATCTACAGATCTCTAGACTTATACAGTCATATGCAAACTTTGTGCACGCCGGTTTTGACAGGTTCAGTTGATTTTCTAAAAGAAAACAAAGCATCCTCTTCAGAGAACACACTTCCGCACACTTTATACATATTTACTGTTTATTTGCTGAATTTAACATACTGGAAAAATTAAAACACAAAATGTGGCCTGTGAAAACAGTTATGCCACATTTAATATTTTATGTTTTATTTTTTATCCAAAATGTTAAACTCAGTTAACAGAAAATCAATAGAAACTGTGCATTAAAATGTATAGAAATGCCATATTTAAATGTGTTCTCTGTATAGGGAGTGTTCACTTATTTTCACAAAACGTAATTTGACCAAAGGTGCCTAAACTTTTGCATACGATTCGACACCTCAGTGACTAGTTTCTCACTCTTGTTTATACAGCTTGTGGATTCTTGTCAGAGTGGAGGCTCTTGAGGGGAACTGGAGCTTCACCAAGCTGCTGCTTTTGTTAGTATGCTGCTCGTTGACTGATCCACAGTTCTTCCAGCGTAGTCTGCTAATGGAATCACTTTAAAAGCAATTTAAAGCAGCATCATGCAAGAATTGGTGATTTTTTTGCTCTTGGGCTCCCCCTAAAGAGTGTATTTCACTGTTACACCACTGTCATCCACTGTCATAAATACAAATCTTGCTTTGAGCGCCCCCTCATGGACAGCTGTTCATGTGTAATTGTTGACAAGCTGAAGGTAAAGAATCCGACTCCCTCTTTGCCTGCACGCAGGCATATGGTCACTACAGATTACACTCCTGATTTTTTTGGTTCTTTCTATGTGTGGCATCCATATGCCGGCATGGAGGGGTCGGATTCTGCAGGAGTCGGAATTCAGCATAAGAACCCTGTCGACTTACAAGGTGGGGTAACATTACAGGATTTTATAACAGAAGGCTGCAAACTTTCAAGGCTTACTTGACGTGAGATTGAAAAAGACCGACCAAACTTTCTGGTGCAAGATGAATTTTTTTATTTGCATACTAGCTTGAAACAGGGCTGAGATTAGACGACTTTTGGCATCTGTGAAACAGGGACGACACTGATAAGGTTACAGCCTATGGCGGACGTGGTGCTGTAAAGCGTTACGCAGTTCTCGTGAGAGATCTCGTGCCGCTCCTCCAAAGTTAAATAGCGCTACAGCAGGCGTTCCAGGCCCAAATGGCAATAACAGTGACGTCTTTCTCCCTACTATAAGTCAGTGTACCATCAACATGATTTTGAAGCTGTTATTTTAAGGCAGAATTGTTACATAATGTTGCTTTAAAAGCTGTATTTGAATGTGAGGGCTGGAATCACAGACTCTATCTCAGTAATATGGAGCGTGCTGCAGCTGGACTACAGTCTGCACTATAGAAAGACAATAAGAAAAAAGAGAGAGAACGCTCTTACCATACTCCAATATTAACGCCCTCCTCTGGCTGGAGGTAGAAGTTGTGTGTGTGGTTCAAGCCCTGATCCTGCGGCCTCTTCAGATCAATAAAATACGGCACCCTTACTGAGAGAGAGAGTGAGAAAGACAGAGAGAGAGAGAGGAGAGAGAGGAGAGAGAGAGAGACTTTAGAGAACGCAGGCAAAAATCCCATTAAACCTAATGAGAAACTGTATATCACAATACCCGAGTTATTTCAAATTATATTGAATTTGTATGTATTTTGTAATCATGGTTATGAGGGATAAACATCTAAGCAGAAAGTTTGACTGGTTTAACACGGCTATATATATATATATATATAGTATATATTTTTGTATAAATAAAGTATAAATAAGTTTTGTATAAATAAAATTTGTATAAAAAAAATAAAAAAAAAAATCACTAAAATGTCAAAAAGCATACTTTGGCAAAAATAATAATACAAAATACAACAGGAAACAAAATAACTGATAATCCCCCCCAAAAATTGTTCTATTATGTTTTACACACACACACACACACACATACATATATATATATATATATATATATATATATTTATTCTAATCTTTCTTTGTTTTTAAAAATAAATCCAATCAATTCCAGCTGTTAGTTTTCTCCTCTGATAGATCAGCACATTCCCGCCTGTGCACAGCTGTTCAGCTCGCTTTTTAAAGATAAACGTGTGCTGAAATCAGAATTATTTTACTTGAGGCACTTTTGGCTGCACACTCTGAATCATCGTTATCAGCTTGCTTTTCTAATGTGTCAAATTCTTCCACTGAACAAATTTTGTTCATTTTAGGTCATTTTAGTTAAATTAGGTCACAGGGGTTATCCTAAGTCATAGGAACTGAAAGTGCGTCTGCATGTGCATGTGTCTATACAGGAAGCGTGTGACTGTCTTGTGAGACACACTGATGCAATTTGTCAAATTTGAGGATTTGAAGCACTCGGCTGACTGATTGAGGCCAAAGTCACTGGCCTGCTAATTATAACAGCAGTTGCTTCGTTTCCTCACTCAAAGCGCAGTTTTCTCCTGTGATCTATCAGTAGGAGTCAGGCGAGAAGAATCAATAATAAATATATAACAGTCAGTAAAAAAAAAATATAAAATCTCAACGAGTGCGTGTAAAGCTGGCAATTTAAGTTACTAACTACCACTAAACAGGCCGTCGTGTGCTTAAAAAGAACTTAGTGTACGTCTCAGCACTGCTAGAAGCCCACGTCTTGCAGTGGACCAATCATGTCTGTGGCTGTCTGTTAGGCTGGGCCTACACTAAGCGATTTTTTGCCCGATTTTAAGCTACGCACATAATTGGCTAAATTCGTCTGGGCGCTTATTTAAGCTGCTTTAGTCTGTCCATTCTCACCACTCCTCTGCAAGCCACTTTACAACCCACCACTCTAACTCCTCCTTAATGCTGTGTCTAACTTACTGAATATCATGTGTTTTGTCCTTGATATCTGCTCTGTTCTGTACCCTTGGTGGGCTGCTGCTTCTCCCCGCCTTAGGCTTTCCATGTACACACATGGAAGGGCAAGGAGGTGCCACAGGAGAGCCATACCGATAAAAATAAACTTACTGCGAATGGAAACAAAGTACTTTCTTTGACAAAGTGGTCCTGACTGAATTAACACTTAGTATTCTTAGTTTTCTTGCATGTTGAGCTGACCAATGACGACGCGATAATGGCAGCCTGAAATAGTTATTAGGATGGTGTGTTAGAGGAGGTGTAGCTAGAAAGTGGGATTGGCCGTGACAAAACTGGACAAAAAAGAGAGTGGTTGTGTAATATTCATAATACTTTGTGTTTACACTAACACTATTAATAATGCTATATATTGTAAGTGTAAAGTTATTTATAAGTGGCTGTTATACGTAATTGTGTACACAATACATCTTATTTATGTCAATACAATACAGATAAAATTCTGCATCAATATAATTGTATAATATATCATTATATTACTATGTATTACATCATTAAGGTATAATATATTTTAATAAACAAACATCAATGTACAATTTTAGTATCACATTAAAGCATAAATCATATTTCTGACAGCTGAACTAAACCATCAGTAAATCAGTTTCATTTTTAACCACTACATAATCCAATATTATCAGTTATCAGAATTCATAGACACTGAACAAAGCACTCCTATTATCTCAAAGCAACAACATCAACTTTAGTAAACCTGAAAAACGTACATAATGTTGTCCACTGTAAAAAAAAAAGGTGTCTTACCTTAAAAATAAAATAAAAGTTTTTCATTGAACTTGTAACACTAAGATAACAAACACAAATCGGCTGTATGTTCTGCTACCTGAAATTAACTGTTGTGATGGCGCTTCTCCCTGATTAGCAGCATGGTGTGCTAGTGGAAGCCTAGCTAGATAGTGGGAATTAGCCATGACTAAACCCGACTCTAAAAGACCTAAAGCTACTGGAAAATCCAGTAGTCAGAGTGAGGAACGTCCAGTGAAGTTCATACACTCACCAAAGTTTAGAAACACTAGTTTGGCCTGGATGGAGGGGAAGAGCTTGATGATGACGGGAATAGCGATGTAGATCCCCAAAACCCAGAGGAAGATCCTCCTCAGCCTCCATAGCAGACCAGTCCTGTAAACACAGAGAGAGAGAGAGCAAAGTAAACACCCACTTCACAAACTGAATCCTTTGTCGGTGCAGCGTATATTCATAAACTAAACTGACATCATCATTTTCACAATGAATTTATTACTAATGATGACCTGTATCACCACCGACAGCCAATCAGAGCACACAGCACTAGTGTCGTAGTCGAGACATCCGAGTCTGAGTCAAGACCGAGACCAGGACACACTGAGTCTGAGTCAAAATCAAGATTTTAGAGGCTGAGACTGAGATCAGGTTTTCACACACATACACACACACACACACACACACACACACACTTTCTAAACCGCTTATCCTTCTGGGTCGCGGGGGTTACTGGAGCCTATCCCAGTGGTCACTGGGCGGGTGGACTGGTGACCTGTCCAGGGTGTGTCCTGCCTTCCGCCCAGTGACAGCTGGGATAGGCTCCAGCACCCCACCGCGACCCAGAAGGATAAGCGGTTTAGATGATGTATGTGTGTGTGTATAGCTTATATGTGACACAGTGGCGCAGTGGGTAGTGCTGTCACCTCCTTTGAGAGCATCTGAAAAGTGCACAGCCTGTACAACTGTGAAGGTTTACATTGCAGCTTATTAAACAGATGATGGGCCTGAAACAGCTGCTGAAGAAATCCCAGAGGAAACGCTGTGTAAGATGTGTAACAGTCCAGCAGACGTTTCTTACCCTGTTTGAGAAACTACAGGCTTTATTTTACACTTTCTCCTCATTATTATAGACAGACAGAGCTATAATCTCATCTCTCTCTCTTTAAAAATAACACTTCAGATACACCAACGGCAACTCTGTGTGTGTGTGTGTGTGTGTGTGTGTGTGTGTGTGTGTGTGTGTGATGAGACAGACAGACACACACAGAGTGACCTCTGTTATTTAGGAGTGCTGAAGGCTACAACATGTCATAAAACATGATGAACGAGAGAGAGAGAGATGAGAGAGAGAGAAAGAGAGATGAGAGAGAGAGAGAAAGAGAGAAGAGAGAGAGAGAAGAGAGAGATGAGAGAGAGAGAGAGAAGAGAGAGAGAAAGAGAGATGAGAGAGAGAGAGAGAGAGAGAAACGACAGAGTGAGACAGAGTGAGAGAATGAGAGAGAATAATACAATAAAGAGGAAGAGGGAGAGAATGAGACAATGGAAGACAGGCCGAGAATGACAGAGAGAAAGGGAAAATGAATGTGAGAGCAAGAGAGAAAGATAGAGGGAATGAGAAGAGAGTGAGAGAGAGGCAGAGAATGAGAGAGATTAATAGAATGAAAGAGAAAAAGAGAGAGAGAGAATGAAAGAGAAAAAGAAAGAGAAAAAACAGAGAGAGAGAGATCATGAAAGAGTGAGAGAATGAGAGAGAATAATAGAATGAAGGAGAAAGAGACAGAGAGAATGAGAAAGAGAAAGAGAGAATGCGAGAGAGAAGACGGAGAGTAAGAAAGAGAGAGAGATTAGACGGTGTGGATGACGTAAAGAGAAGTGGCTATAAAACTTGGAAACTTTACAAAACCAAACCAAAACTAAAAGTGCTTTTCTCTGTTCGTTTCACTACCTGCTCCACACAGCTGAGTCACATCAGCTGACTCAGCTGACACAGACAACCTGTCTTTAGAGAAGAGAGAGAGAGAGAGAGAGAGAGAGAGAGAGAGGGAGAGGGAGAGGGAGAGGCTCAGTCTAACACTCTTTAGTTTTTGTTAAAAAACTACAAAGTATTTAAACAAACTCTTTTTACCATCACAGCAACCTGACATTACATCTCTGCTACAAACAAAAACATCAGCTTTACTTCGAGCTCTGACAGTTTCTGAGCAGCTCAGCTGAAAATAGCATGAGTGGAAATGTTAAAACTCAGGCCCAGTCCCATTTCTTATTTTTACCCCTACGCCTTGTTTTTGAGTGTCACTTTGCCCCTTGGAACTGAGTTACAGGGGTGGTGGCTGAAATCTTCCCTGCTAAACGGGACCCTTAAATAAAAAAGAACATCATTAACAGCTACTAGCGCTGCTCTGTAGGCGACCCTGCCAGCCTGCAGTGACAGCAGAGGAGGGTAAAGTTCAGCAACCTCTTTATTATCGACCCCTAATTCTTCAGTGATATGAAGCTGAAGTCAGATATTCTCCAGCTTCTCGTTCGGATTTTCCTGTTCCACCTTAAATGGAGCAGCGGTTCTGATGCCTGAGGTGCCAGAATGTAACTCCTGCACCATTTAAGGTGGAACAGGAAATTTAGCTAGCTAACTACAGAGACATCAGCAAATGATTTTTATGCTTGTTATGAAGAAAAGAAACATAACACACTGAAACGACGACTAAACTAAGAAAACACGATTATTGCGACATTTGTGGGTTTCATTGGTGTCTTGCGCAGCCATCCTGCCGGTTTTTCTTTTTTTCTCATAACACTCTGTTTGGAGTGTGTCTCTGAAAAACCTCCCTTTGGAGGGCCATGTAGACCATTTCAACAAGAATCTGGACACCCTATCCCTAAACGTGAACGAGCAAAACAGAGGGGTAGAGCTAAGTGGTAGGGGCGAGGGGTGAAATGGGATTGGGCCTTTATCAAAACTTACAAAAAGGTCACACTGGCTGAGTTTACATGCAAAGATTTTTGCCAGTCATATCAAATATATTCCAATTATAGATGAATACATAAAATCACTCTCCTCAACAATCTGATGAAAATCACAGTTTACATGCTCACTGCAAGTAATCTGATCCAAATTACGCAAACGCATAGAGAACCACTTAGTGTAGACGTTACCATGACAACCAGCAACATGTGAGTCCAGTCAGAGTGAGATGAGCAGCAGTGAGCAGTGCTTTGTGTTTTTACTTACTTTAAAATGATGTCAGACTCAGAAAACAGACTTCACTTGTACTAATTAAACAACGCAGAGAGGAAGACGTCGTGTTCTGAGACACATAAGCTGGACGTCCGTCCCACCACCGTCTTTTAAAGCTCAGAGCATAAACTTTGTCTCCTCTGCAGACCAGTTTCTGCTCCGCCATGTTGAGCACCATAAACTTTCACTATAACGTGACAAACATGATCAGAATGTACTTAAACTTTTCTATTTGAGAATGTAATCAGACGTATCGGATTACCCACCTCGTTCAATCGGATAGAAACTGTATTCCGAGTGGCCTCAATCGGACTAGTCTATTCTGATTGAGGTGTTTACACGGACATATTCCATTCCAATTGAGCTATCAGTCGGATTGTTAACAGATTATTAGGCTGCATGTAACTCACTGAGCCATCAGGGTGAATCTGGAGAAATATCTGTCTGACCACAGATGGTGTTGCTATGGGAACACGAGATGAAGACCAAAAGCGTGTTATATTTGGACCTGCTAAACTGCATGAAAAATCCATGCCATATTTTACCCCGTGTTAGTTTGTGCCGTGCTCTTCTAAATGACAGGACAGTGAAGGTCAGTGGAGTCCAGTTTCTGACCTCAGCTTTCACTAGTCATGATCAGTTTACTGACCTCGACTATGAATGTACAGATTTTCCAGTCTTCACAGCACACACACACACACACACACACACAGACACCACACACACACACACACGTGTTGGTGTACACACTGTTTTGCACTGAGTGAAAATTTCATGATGACTGGACCAATAGAAAAGCTCCAAAACTGCTTGGAATTAATTTACACGTCCTCATGGCTGATTAGTCACCCTAAAGAGATAAAGACACTGCTCAGTGATCTGAGAGAGAGAGAGAGAGAGAGAGAGAGAGAGAGAGAGAGAGAGAGAGAGAGAGAGAGACAGGGAGAATGAGTGAGGGCAAAGGTGAGAAACAGATAGAAAGACAGAGAAAGAGAGAGAGAGTGAGCGAGAGAGAAACAGAATGAGTGAGAGACAGACAGACAGAGAGACAAAGAAAGAAAGATTAAAAGAATGAGAGAGAAAGATGAAGAGATAGACAGAGAGAAAAAGAAAGAGCAAGAGAAAGAGAGAAAGACAATGAGTGAGTGCGAGAAAAGTGAGTGCGAGAGAAAGAGAAAAAGAGAAAAAGAGAAAGAAAGAGAGCAAAAGAGAAAGAATGAGTGAGTGCGAGAGAGCGAGACCAAGAAAAAGAAAGAGAGAGAGGGAAAGAGAGAGAGAGAGTGAGTGCAAAAGACAGAGGCAGAGAGAAAGACAGAAAGAGAGACAGAGAGAATGAGTGAGTGCAGAGAGAGAGTGAGAGTGTGTGAGTGAGAGAGCAAGGGAGAGAGAGAGGCAGAAAGAGAGAGACAGGTTGTAAAAAAGAAGGGGTGGGGGGGTTATAACAGTAGTGAAATCCAGCACAATCATGCTGAACTCAAAAAAATCCTCCTGAACATCTGGAAAATCCAGACGAGCAGACGGTGTGTGTGTGTGTGTGTGTGTGTTTGGTTTGAGGCTTAATGCTGTCTGTGCGAGTATCTGTGTGTGTGTGTGTGTGTGTGTGTGTGTGTTGTATGAAGCTCTGTCGGTCTTCATTCTCTATCAGAGTGCAGTCGACTCTGTGTGTTCTCGCTCCTGCTGCTGAGACTGTTATGTGCGCTGTAGCAGAGAGGGGGTGCACTAACGCAGGCTACACCCTGTGTGGACAATAAAGGCTCATATCCTATACTTTCTTTCCATTTCAGTTTTTCCAGCGTAAAAGAAACTTCATCACAACTATATTTGGGATAAAAAAAGGAAACAGAGTAAATTAGATTTCAGGCTGAACTATCACTTTAATGTGAAAGATTAGCTCTGTGTGTGTGTGGGGGTGCTCAAGCAGTGTTAACAGTGCTGTATGCAAACTGACGGGGGTCTAAAGAGAGAGGGGGGGGGGAAGAGGTAACAGAGAGAGACAGGGTAAAAGAGAAAAAACACGAGAGAGAACTGACTGAGGAAGAGTGAGAGAGACAGAGAGAGAGATAGAGAAACAGGGAGAAACTGAAGGAGAGAGAGAGAAACCAACAAACAGGTAACAGAGCAAGAGAGTGCAAGAGAGTGCGAG